TGCAATCCAAGGAGTTAGACCCCTGGTCACCAGAATGTGGCCAGTGACCCAATGGGAAACAAGATGAGGGAATGGGTAAGAGACAAGAGCAAATCAAGGGTGGCAACAATCTTTAAAAATATAAGATTTAGATATGACACAAAAATCACGAGACAAAAGAAACAATGAATCAATTGGACTTCATCAAAATTTAAAACTTCTGCACTTCTAAGAATACCAAGATTTTATAAGGAACTTTTACGATTCAACAATAAAAAACAAATAACCCCAAATGGGCAAGGACTCGAACAGACATTTCTTCAAAGAAAACATACAAAGGGTCGATATTTTGAGAAACGCATATCGAAACTACAATGAGGCATCATCCCATAGGATGCTATGATGAACAAACGAAGGATCACAACAGGTTAGAGGGATAATAACTTCGCTAGAAAACAGTTTGGCAGTGAACGTGGAGCTACTGCATGACCCAGAAATTCTACTCCTAGGTATATGCTCAAGAGAAGCAAAAGCATATGTCCACACAAAACCTAGTAAATAAATGTTCATAGCAGAATTATTCATAAGAAGTGTAAACAACCCATATGTCCATCCACAAAGAACAGATAAACAACATGGGGGGTGTCCGTACCGGGTGTGTTGACGCTGAGGGCTCACACAGGAGTCCCTCCCAGGCACTGCCTCTGCCTAAGGGTCAATTCACACCCAGTGACTGTTCAGTGTAGGCGTTCCAAGGCCTGGACCCACTTTGAGACAACTTTGAAGAGCCAGTTTAGCTCTAGAGCTTTCCGTGGGGTTGGCTGAGGCCATCTGTTGTGGCTGCAGCAGAGCCTGCCTTCCCCTGATGCCTTCACCCCCTCACAGGTGTCTTCCTCAATCAGCTGCCCTGCACACACATTCCTGAGGGTTCCCGCAGGAACCACCTTCGAACAGTCAGACACCTGTTTGGACCTCCCGACCCCCACTGCGGCTGGCTCAGCGAATGTCAGCCACACTTCGGCACCTCTTGCTCCCATGCCGGCAGAGTTACACCTCATCATCACACCTCGTCATCAACAGTCTCTCTGAGCTTGTGCACTGTGGAGTATTTGAAGTGAGCTGGTGTGAACAGAGAGGGCCACAGATTCTGTGACAGTCCCCACCAAAAGGAGGGACGTATGCCCACTCCCCTTGGGTCTGAGTGGAGGGACCTGTGACCGCTGTGACCCACGGAGGTTGGAATAAGCGATGCTGTGCCAGTTTTCAGACCCGATGCTTGCGAGACCGGCAGCCGCTGGTTCCTGCTGTTGGAACGCCCTCTCTGTGACACTCCCCACCAAAAGGAGGGATGTATGCCCACTCCCCTTGAGTCTGAGTGGAGGGACCTGTGACCGCTGCACAGAGGTTGGAAGAAGCGATGCTGTGCCAGTTTTCAGACCCAATGCTTGCGAGACCGGCAGCCACTGGTTCCTGCTGTTGGAACGCCCTCTCTGTGACACCAAAACTGCCATGGAAGACGTCCTTGCACCCTGAGACTGTGCTGCAGGAGAGACCGAGGGTGGCAGCTCTGACGTTCCCAGCTAAGCCAGCTTCCCAGCCTTCTCTCTCCCACAGGGTGCCAGGCGTGTGAGTGAAGCTGTCTTGGATTGTTCCAGACCCGTCAATCCGCCATCTGAATACCACACAGTGACCTCAGTCAACCCTACGTGGAGTCAGCCAGGTGCTGAAAATTACTGCCCCACAAAATGATGATATGACAATACGGTTATATTTTAAATGTGTTGTGCAGTGGCGAGCCTCTCTGGAACCTCCTTGGCACCTCCGAACTCTTGGCCTCGCTGGGAACGGGGCAGGTGGGGGACGCGTGTCTTACGCCTGCGTTTTGGCGGCGGGGGCCCAATACCCCAGACAACTTGCCTGAAGTTAATTTGCAACCATCCTAGAAGTAGGGCTTATTTCACTTAAGCCTTTATCAGGTGCGTTTCCATTGGACTGGCTTTGGGGTTTCGTTCTGAGAAAGCGACATGGTGGTAAATAATTATCTGACAGAACCAGACAGTGTGTGAGGATGACGTCCTGGGCCTGGTTCCACGGGAGCCACAGACCTCTGCTTCCGGGCCTGAGGGGAACAGAGTCGCAGGCAATCTGGGTCTCAAGTTTTAGTTTAAAAGGAGGCTTTGGGATTAGAGGTGTGTTCCCCAGCATATATTATGACCCGAGGCCATGGTTTTCAGGAACTAGGATTAATTTAGATATGTTTCTGTACCATCTCCAGAAATAATTCGGGTCAGAATCTGTGTCTAGATTCTCCATTCGTAAGATATGGCCACCGTACTTCACTCTGGGTTCTTTTATCCGAGAAGCTCATTGAGTAATTGCTGCTTATAGTTCTGAGTTTCCTTGGGTCCACAAGTGACCCATTAAAATGTCTGCCACTGTTCTGGAAGCTTCTGGAAGCTTCAGGTACAATATGATTATCAAAGGTCTTACCCTACTTTCGCCTTCTTCAAAACTACCCCTCTCCAAACAGAAAACAACGACTTGGAAATAAAATCCTCCAACAAAAGGCAAGTGAAGGAGCTGGATCTCATTCGGCACTCAGTGCTGCCAAGTGAGCACCTTATTACTGCCAACCCTGGGCTCCCCGAGAGGCAGGGACTAAGGGTATTGAGTCCCTGGTGTGTGCAAACACCGCAGATTTACATGCACGACCTCGGTTCTCACAGCACCCCTGTGAGGTGGGTATTGCTGGCCCCGTTTCATCAGTAAGAATGCGGAGTCAAGGGAAGATTAAGCCACCCGCATAAGGTTTCACAGACAGTAAGAGACGGAGCAGGTGGCCAGCGATTCAAACTCAGGTGTGTCTCTGCGTTCGATGTCGCTCTTCTCTCCACGGAGTGATGTTGCCTACTGTCCTTGGGAAAAGGGGTGAGAACTTCAGAGTGTCCAGGGGAGAAATTCCAGCCATCGATGAGGTCGAAGACGTGTATTGCTAATTCAACTGGCAGCTGTATAGAGCACTACTGTACACACGTATGTGCACGTGGTGTAAATCCTCAGTCTACCGCTCAAAATTTTTCTAGGTCGGTGAGGTCATTGGTGCCTTACTTGGAACCTTACAGCTACCCATGTCACTAAACAGGCGATTTACTATGCAGAGCGAAGTATCTGACCACGATATTGTGTCCGCATAAAAAATATGCAAAATATTTACATACCTATGCAGATGTGGCCGTTGGAGGGTCTGGTGCCAGGCTGGTCGTCCTGGGCTGGAAAGGCCGAGGTGTGAAACGTCAGGAGAAAGAACAGAGGAGCCACCAAAAGGACTTTGTGGGGAGACTTCATCCTGGAGAGCAGCCGGGCCGCAGAAGCTTCTGACTAAGCGACGCTGCAGTGGGGGTCGCAGATGCGTTCAGCGCCCTCCCTTCCTGTCTGTCCTCTGACACGCACGCACACCGCCCCCACGCTCACAAACACACTTTTCAGTGACTACTAAGACACACACCAACGCTCCCCTCTACTGCACAAACCCGAGTGAGAGCCCCGGAGGCCCAGCTCTGGGAAGAGCTTCAGGGCACCCCCGCTGTGCAGTTCTGAGCGGAAAAAGGGGCAGGAAAAGAAAAAACCCAAGTTGCAGTGGTAGTAGCCACGGCACTTCCGCGCTGCCTGGCTAAAGTCAGCAGCCGTGACCCTCAGGAGCCTCTGAAGCGTGGGGGAATCGTCCCGCGGTGGGTAGGACGCCCTTCCCTTTTCGTTCTTGCAAAACCAAGTAAAACTAAAACCGAAGGAAGAAAAGAAGCACTGAACCACAAACAAAACTCTGTAGCAGTTGGGTTAGCAGCGCCCACATAGCGTAGCAGCCATCGTCACAAGGTTCTTGGCTTTGCCCTCAGCAGCTCTATGTGGTGAGGTTGGCTTCCTTCTGTTGATAAAAAATACTCTGGTTAAGTCGTTATTTTCTTTTAAAGAAGTTGGATTTTTTCCTTAAAGGTCCAGCTTGCTCAAGACCTTGCATTTGGTATGCAGAAAATGAGCAATGCAATAATGGGCAGTCAGCATGGCTGGTTTTAAAGCCAGTAAGAAAAAAAAAAAAGGGCCAGAATTAACCAGTTTCATATTTACTTGGCTGTGTATGATTGCAGCCAATTTCTCCAGAATTTCAAAATGTGTTTGCATCCCTCACCTGGGGGTGATTCGTTCATTTTTAAGAGACTGATTTTCTGTTTCGAAGTTGAGAACTGAATGCTGTTTCTCTGGAGAAAACAAACAAACAAAAAAATGGATCCAGATCGTCGATAGAGAAAAGACATATAATCTAACGGCTTTGTTTTCTAAGACACGACACAGTGAAGTCATATGCCATTCTCAGACAAGATAAGGGGACTGGGCCAAAGTGCTACAATCTAAAATCTTTTTTCTAGATTGTAGCACTTCACGTGATTTTTATTCTCCCTGTCTGGGCTATGAGGAGAGCTTATTATAAACTTTATGAAATATTATGATAGCTATTGAACTTGGTAAAATTTCCTTCTCCTACCCCCCTGCCCCCAACTCCTGCTTTTACTTAAAAATAACATTTTAAGTAGCAGGTAGAATTTTAGAGTTGTACTCTTTCCAAGATTGAAGTGCCAGTTTAACAAATGCCAGTTTGTTAATCTCTGCATCTGTGGCAGAGCTATCCCATCCCAGAGCGTGTCCCTACTTGTGTGCCCAACACAGGTTGGGCCAATGGATCCTGAGATGTCCTTGGTCCCCATGGGCCTGTGGATTCCTCTGAGGCTGAGCTGCTGGTTCTCCAGGTCCCTGACTCTATGACCAGGGGAAGCTGTGGAGGTCACCAGGTCCACACAGGGGTCGGGGCCTAGTGAAGTCCCAGAGATATCCTGGGGAGGCAAGGTAACGGAGTGATGAAGGGCACTGGCTGCGCAGACAGGAGGACCGCCTTCGGTGTCCCTGCCATGCCGAGGGGCACACAGTCTGGTTTGCTAACCCACGGGGCAGCGAGGAAACTTCCGATGGCTCCTAGATCGTTTGGCACAGGCTCTGGGCCTCCTGAGGGTCTCCTGGTGTCGATTTACAGCTGTGAGCAGGCCTGGGAAATCTCAGGGTGACAGAGAATGCAAGTTCAGGCCCTTGGTCGCGTGTGTGTGATGCGGTCCCCCCCCCACAGCCACCCAAGGATGGCGAGTCTGAGACCGCTGTGTGCACAGGCTTCGGGGCAGCCATACTGGCACCTCCGGCTTGGCTGCGGGGCGTTGGGCAAGTCCTCACCACTTCCAGGGGTGAGAGTCCCTGTAAGGGCGTGTCACCGCAGTATGTGACACCTAGTGGTTCTTCCATAAACTGAAGCCATTTTCATGCTTGAAGGGGGAGTTCTCACTGGGTAGGGCCGAAAGAGGAACCCAGAAATCAGGAAGTGATGTTGCTTACCGGTTGGCGCTGGGGCGAGTGTGAGTGCCCGTGCACCGCTAGACGGAGCCTTCCTGTCACCAAGGCGGGGGCGGGGGGGGGGGCGTCTCCCGTTTGCACAGGTGACCCTCAGACTCGCTGGTCTCATGTCCCTCCACAGGGCCGCCTTTGTTCATTGAGTGTTGAGTGCACATGACCTAGGATCTCTGCACAACCTCCTGAAAAGCCTTGGGCCTGGCTGCGGTTTATAACCAATCGGACCCTGTACGATGTCCCTAGAGGACCCCTGCTGTCAGACGCTCCAGTCCTGATGTTCTCAAAGTCTGCTTTGGAGAAGGAGATTCCTTCCTTGAAGCACTTTGTTGCTTACTTGACTCGGAGTGCTCCAACTCAAACCGCAGTCTGTCTCTCTGTGCAGCAGAAGGTTGAGGCTTCACGATTCCCAAATGTCACACTGTGGTTCTGGCTTGTCCTGTCTGAACTTCCTAATTATTTTTTGATCCGCATGGGCCTCAGCCATCTCATTCGCAGCAAGTTCCTTAATCAAAATGAAAAAAAAAAAAAATGACCCGGGTGAAAGGAGATATTGTAAAAGCTGGTGTTGTCACAAAAACGCCTCTTCTCTTTGACTTTCTCCTCTTTCTGACACCAAGCGTCCCTCTCGTTGCTTCTGGCTTCCCAGGATTCTCTTCGGAGGTCCTCGGTGCAGCCTGCCCTTTCCCCCCTAGTTAGAGTTTATTTAACTAGCTCTACTCAACCTTCTCTCTGTTCTCTGCGAGGGACACAGTAAATTAATTCATGAAAAAGGTGCATGTCAGCCAACTAAAAGAGCTCTGGGCTTACGATCAGGGAACCCACATCTTCATGATGGCTTCACTGGCTAGCCATGTGCCTTTGGGCAAGCCACCTCTCACCGGCTAGCCATGTGCCTTCGGGCAAGCCACCTCTCTGGGTATCAGTTGATTTAACTATAAAATGGAGTCTCTAGTCTACAGCCATGCCACCCTGAACGAGCCTGATCCCATCTGATCTTGGAAGCTAAGCAGGGTTGGGCCTGGTTAGTACTTGGATGGGAGATCACCTAGGAAGACCAGGTGCTGTAGGCATAAAAAATAAAAAAAAAATAAGAGATTGTAAGCTGACAAGGTCCTTGCAATCTGTGAGGTCAACCAAGGGTTGCCTCGCCTAAAAAAAAAAAAAAAAAAGGAGTCTCTAATCCCAATATTACAGGAAATTGTGAGGATTAAAGAGATAATGTGAGTGGAAAAAAAACTACTGGTAAATGTTAAAAAAAATTTAAAGCTAACAGTGAATTAACATTCTCCTTATCAGGTTGAGATTTTAACATGTTTTGCCATGTCTATTTTCTGAGAACATTTAAGGGAATTTTCATTTTGATGATGTTCAGAAGTAGATACAAAGTAGGAATTTGGACAACCCCGGAGGTGCGGGCAGCCATAGGGACTATGGCTGGAGGGAGGGGCACTTGCCATGTCAACAGAAAGTAACCACAGGGGAGTGGAGAGTGTGGAGACCCAGGAACCCGTCTCCCGAGAGGGATGCTCGTAGCTTCCAGCAGGAAGAGATACACACAAGGAAACAAGTCAGTGTGCCTTGACGCATTGAAAGTAGCGATGGAAGGCCTGGCCGTGACCCTGGCACACAACAGGATCTGGGCTCCAACACCCCTTCCCCACTCCCCCCACACCCACCCTCTCGTCCATGCACATTGAGGTTCTTGAGATTTATGGAGATGCATTCACACTCACTGGCCCAGCTGTGTCATCCATAACTACATCCATAGCTGCTTTCTAAGGAGACTGGACTCTAGTAAAGAGAAAGTCTTTTGTCTTCTGGGTACCTGATGGAGCGTCTGGGCGAAGGAGCTGTGGCAAGTGAATTTCTTTTTATAAGCGAGGCCGAAGAATTTAGACACGATGCAGAAGGAAGAGAGAAGGAGCAGAGAAAGGAGAGACAGAAGGTGGAAGTGGAGACGGATGAGACAATGGGATCTTCCTGGCTAAGGGGCCAAGAGAGAGGGGCTAGGGGGTCGGGTGGCAGAAAGGCCCAAGCTAATAGGAAGGGCCAATGTGGATTCGCAAAGTGCTCGCTGTGCCGTGTGAGAGATAATACTTTGCCCAGGTTCGGAATGGATTTTTGTGGAAACCAGTGAGAACAGGTTTCGTGTTCGGATCAGAGCAGGGCAGAGCTAAGAAGGCATAGGGAGAAACGCGTGCGGAGGCAGAGGGACGGGGAGAAGACACGTGTCGGGCATCATGGAGGGAGGTACCCCGCGGAGCATCGTGGAGGGAGCTCTGGACTCCCATGTGCTATGCATTGATTCTCACGTAATTTAGACTCTTATATGCAATAGATTTGGGGGAGAGTGGGCTTAAACTAAATTCGCCTAGATCTCCACGGTGTACATTTTGAATGCACATAACAGAATAAAATAAAAACATAGGCGAAATAAATTTGAAGCTCTTTCATTTATTCTTTCATTCATTTTTAGACAAAAGAAGTCCAGGGGTAGGCAGTCACGGCTGGTATGGAGGTTCTACGGTGTCTTCAGGGACCTAAGCTCCTAATCTTCTGTCTCACTAGCCTAGAACTGACTTAGAGCCTAAAGACCAGAAAGGTCTAAAATAGCTGCTACAGCTCCAGCCATCACATCTGTGTTCCAGGCCGGTAGTAGAAGAAATCAGAAGGCTAGTGGAGCTCACACCTCCCCTTATAGTTTCTTCTCAAATCTCCTCTAATGCTACTGGTTACGTCTCACTGGCCACAACGAACCACAAGGGATGCTGGGAAATAGAGATATATGATGCCGCCTAACTGCTGGGGCAGCTGGGGAAGATGGTCTTTATTCTGTTGACGATGTGCTCAGCTAATAATCAGGTCCTAAATAGAAGGAGAAATAGAATCTTAGGAGGCAATCGTCAACGTGTATGTTGCACATAAATACGTGTGAGTATTTTTCTTTCTGAATTGCGTATGTTTGATTACCTTGCTATATGAGTTTTTGGAAGGTGGAGTGAGTCACGCTGCCTTAGGCTATTCTTCCCAGTGCGGCTTGCTTTGAATGCTGGGCAGATATGTACTCTTTAAAGGCACGTTTTTTGTTTTTTGTCCCCTCTCCCCTCCAATACTTGTCCTGGTGAGCTCATGGAAACACGAGCTGACAAAAATTCTCATGAAAATCACAGCGACTGAGATGAGAGAGGCTAAGCTGTGTCCAGGGGGCTGCCGTGAGGAAGGCAGGCTCCTGCCTCCCTGGGGAGTTGGCGAAGGCATTTCAAAAATGCGTGGAGTAGTTACATCTCTTCTGGGGATACTTTCACGG